GACATTTTTTGACGCAATTTTAAAAGCACTTTCACTAACCTTTTAACCTCTATGCCACTTAACTCTTAAATGTCAAATAGCACCAACCACTAGTGATACAAAAAATGAAAACACTTTTAAAATGCTCTTTAAAAGCTTTTTTCAAAATGAAATGATTTTTATACATTCATTAAATATCGGCAAAAAACTAATCCTTCAGCAGTCAATATGTACAAAGGGTCTTAAGAACTATATTGCTATTTTTTAGATACTTACATTAAATTATAAGAAACCTTTAGTCCGATTATTTAGACAATAAAATAAAGAAATAAAAATAAGTTTGTTACAGTTTCAATAATACTTATAACAATATTAGTATGTTTCTTGTAATTTATTTTAATAGTTTTTATTAGAAGTAATTACTAATTAGAAACATTATTTTTTGCGAATATCTTATGAATATCTAATGAACTTTAGAAAAGAGGTTCAAAGAACATTTTAAAAACACTTTTATTTGATCTGTGGCAAGTGAGTTGGTGTCATTTGAAATTTCAAAATTGAGGTGGGAGAAGTTAAAGGGGGTGCTTTTAAAATTGTGTCAAAAAATGTCTTTTTTAAGAACAAAATTAACCTGTTTTGTTTTTTTTGCAAATTCTTTTTGGATCGTTTTCATTAGAACACCCTGTATCTCATGAATAGATCGTCTGATTTAATTTTGGTAAAAAGTTTTGAAAAGCTTGTTAAAACAGCTTTCATTTGATGTGCCACAAGTAGGGTAGTTCTATTTAAATTTTTAAAATTGGGGTGCGTCAAAAAATGTCTCTCTGGGAAACAAAATTGTCTTTTTAGTTTCTGGCTCGTTTTCATTGGAACACCGTGTATATTTTTTATCGATTATAAGGCCGCATCTCGAATATCTCTTTTGTTATTTGAATAAAATTTTCTAGTATTTTAATATTAATGCCACTTTAGTAATTAATTTAATTTCATTTGTAAAATAGTGTGTATAACTCGCACAGATCGATATTTATTTGCTGCGCCCACTTTCACCAACAATGTGGTATCGGTTACCAATTTGGGGCTTTTTGTGTATGATCAAGGTTTCGTGTTTCTGACAGCATTATTATTTGGGATTGCTCTTATTTTATCAATTTTGAGGTAAAAAACCAAGTAGATATTTTTCCACAAAGCTGTAAGTATATTTATACTTTTATGATATAATATTTGCATGAGAAGCTTTATTTTTTTCACGTAGGATGTCGTATTGGATTACTCTAGAAATCCAATTTCTTGTCTGGCGTGCTAGCTACTCTCTTAAAAATTCATGGAAATGTATTGAAAAAAAAAATGTCGAAAAGCTAGTAATTTTTTCAGTTCTAATCTGCCTGAAATTGGCCTATTAAAATATCAAAGTTTGTTTTCAGCAAGCTTTCAGAGCTTAAGCCATGTACGAATTCGTGACTGTTTTTGTCGAAGTTTGGTTTGTTTGCATGACATTCTAAATAAATTCTCAAAGTTAGACAAATGGTTAAAGTTTCAAGTGGGAACACAAAACAATTAAATTAATCTAAAATATCCACCTTTGCAATTTGTCAGTCTTATGATGAAAACCTCTAGTTTTGGCTTGAAACGAGCGCTTGGATTCGTGTTATCATAAAAGGAGGAATGAAACCAAAGTAATTTGTTTGTCCTGAATACAATAAGATTTTCAGAGCAGTCAAATAAACTGATATAAATGCGCGCTTTTCGCAAAATGAAATTGAATAAAATTGCACAGTAATCCATACGTTTAATATTCATTACATTTGCTGTTATTGAGGACAATGTGGATTTCTCACAAAGAAAACATTTTTTCGGTTATTTTTGTTTGCAAATTTATTCCAACTAAAATAAACGCTCCATAAACACCTGAAACTTGACCAAATGAACATTTATTTTCGCACGCTTTCTTTATGAAAAAATTGAAAATTATTCAGACTTTGTTATAACATGTCATAATAAATTTAAGGTTTTGAGTCGGTAATAAATATAACCCAAGTTTGACTAACAACACGATAATTAATCAATGTGTTGCAACCATAAATAAGACACTGCCGACAAATTGTATTAATAAAATAAGTGTTTTATTTTTGTTGAAACTTTCGATTTATTTTATCATGAACAAATTGCTGAACTAAATATTTACTTTTGACCGACAAGTGCAGAAGCAAGTTTAGTTTCAGATAATTATGTGCATATATTCGCTTCGAAATTAACCATCAACTTATCCAAAATCAGTGTTTACTTTAACAGAAGGTGGTTTTATAAGAGGTATTATTGTTTCAAACACTGTAAAACATTTCCAAAGTTAGTGAAACATGAAAGATATATAATTTAACATGTAATTTGGGTATTTTTGATCAAGGAATCAAACAAGTTAGATAGTTTTTTAGTTTAAAAAGAAAGCTTTTTCTGAAGCATATTTTGGGCTAATTTCAGGACTTGATTTTGTTACTGTTTTGTTGTTTTTGTATGTTTTTTTGTTTAAATATATTTATTTACATGTTTTGCAACTTTGATATTGCCGACATGCGCTGTGATTAAATTACAGCTCGTAAGTGAATGTAAATGCTCTTGAGGGAGAATACAATATAATGCATTTGAATTAAAAAAAAAACTTTAAAACAATCCTGATTTTGTAAACAAATTTTAAACATTTTTTGTAATCTAGGAAACAAAACATAAAATTGTATAAATCAGATTGCTTACAACAATCTGTAATTTTAGTAGGTATTGAAATTTGTGCTTACCTATTTCATGAACAAAAACACTTTTGTGCTTAAAGTATTCGCAAATTAATGCGATTTGCAGTGATTTGCTCCACCAAACTTGTGTTATTCCACTGTGGTGTTCATAATTTTATGAAGAGGCTCTAATGAGTTTCGAGTTTCGTTCCGGTATTCAGCATCATTAGATGTGAAACTTGCTAAAATTTTGCAATATATGAATTAGAGTTTCGTGTGTATTGATGTCAGGTAATTTATCGAAGCGTGAATTGTCAAAAGAACAAATAATTAGATTTTTGCGAGTTTGTTTTCATAGCTTTTTAGCTTTTGAATCGACGACGTCGTCTTTCAATCAAGATTATGATCGTTGACGCTACTTTTATTTATTACGTCTTTCTTCGCAATGTAAACTCCATTTAAATATTTATTCACCCGCACTCTACTTTCCAAACAATTTTCGTAAAGTTTCCAGGACCGGAATTGGACAAACAATAAAAGAAGGCAGATTGTGTCTTGATAAAAATAGACATTTGCAAATGGAACTTCCTGTGATAAATATTTATTTGAAAACGGTTAATAAATTTCGTTTAGGCTTTGTGGGCTTCTGTTTTTGCATAAAAAAAGATGTTCCACGAAATACTCTATTTTAGAATGAATTTGTTTATTATTCTGTTTACTCGAATGCTAATTTCTCGTATTGCGGAACATACGGGTGGGCGATGACAGAATTGCATAGTAATAAGTTGTACATGACGTGAACATCACAAAGCCACTGAAAAAAAACTGTCAGAGATCAGATCCCAGCTCATTTCAGCTTTATTTCAAACGTCAAAAAATAAATTTTGCCGGCTTCAAAAACAAGCTACATTTTTCATTTTCGTTGATTTTTTAAACTGACGCTAATTTGGTGTTCTTTTATTTCATTGACTTGTTACAAAACACTGAAATAAACGTTTTTTCAGCCTACGAGGTTTTTTTTGCTTGGCCGAATGAAATTATAGTTAAAATTTTAGTCAAGTATTTTTTTCTTTCTTTTAATTTTGAGACAATTGAAATATGTGTAAAAACTTGATCTCCACATAAGATGCAACCAAAAAAGGTAAAAGTGGAATTTTAAAATAATAACTTATTTGCCAACAACAAATTTTTAGTGATGCAGAGTTTTATTTTATTTAACTATAAAGTACGAGCTTGTTGGTTCGAAATCCTTAAATTTTGAGAACATCTTTGCAACTTAATAAATTTATCCAAACGTACAATGGGTATTAAGGGATTTTCTAATGTAGGTGACACTAGGATAAATCAATAATTTAGAATCCTAAGTGAAAACATTGTTTTAAATTGAATTTGAAGAAGCTCTCTTAACATATACAAAAGTCTGGAAACGATTTTATTCCGGCGAAATTATCAATTTCTGTGGCAAATAAATTTATAATGTGCAATGGCTATAAAAATGCTAATAAAAAATTGATTATTAATTAATTGTTTATACTTACGAGATAAACATAATAAGAATTTTTTTAAATGTAAACCTACCATAATTTTTTTAGACAACAAGCTTGTTGTTATGCAATTTTTTTTTTGTAAACTCACACTTTTTTGTTAAAAAATTGTTTCACTTACAAAAATTAAAGAATTTTTTTGAGTAAACTACCAGTTTTTTTTGGAAATTAATTAATAAATGTTTAAAGGTTGTAAAGGAGCGATACCAACATATTTTTTATTTTAATTAATTGTTTAAACTTTTGAGATTACCATACAAATAATTTTTTTCTTAAATAAAAACGGTGTTTTACAAAGATTTTATAAATGTACAAAAATATATATTAAAAATGTTACAATTCATGTTACAAAAATTATAAACTGTATCTGTTGTCAAAACTTTCTAGTTTTTTTTTCTAGTTAGTCCCAAGTCGCAAAGGTTTTGATTGTTATTTTTTTTATATCGTGAGAGAAATTCCGAAATCAATTTTCTGCCTATTTCATGCGAAATGATATATGAAGTTGGGCTTTGCCATTTATACAGTGATTGATGCTTTGATTATCCAGTTTAAAAGCAACCTTAGAACGTCTTCTCATTTTCAATTTAAAATTTTCCCGTTTGAGAAGTGCAAAGTAAACTATGTAATCATTTCACTTTAATCTCGGAATTCACAGGCACGTTTTTTAACTAACATACATTTAAAACCGCAATTATAATTTCCTCATGGCTATGTAATTTCAGAATAACATTTTTTTACTTTGTTTTTTTCACAGATGATGCAGTCGAATCCGATGTTGAGATCACTCAGTAGCGATTCTTCGCAGAAACGGGATTGGAAGCAGAGACTCAGTTTGAGGGATAATCGAAGAAGGGATCCGGTAAGAGTTCTTCAAGTTGCTATACTCGATTAAATAAACAATGCATTACTTCAAGAGTTTATTTGTTACTAAATCAAACATTTAACTATTCACGCTTTTTGCTAGAACACTAATCATCAAAATTTTAATTTTGTTTTGTTGTTATTAAAATCCGTTAACACGGTTTTATCTCAGGGAAGTTGCCATCAAATTATAATAAAAGTGTAATATTGTCTAATATTGAAGTGAAGTAAAGTTTTATGTTGCCTACAATATGTATGGACGTAAATTTGAATACCTCGCCGGAAAGTTAGAGTTTTTATCTTGTAATAGAAAGTTTTTACAGCAGTAAAACAATCAATGAAGTTAAAAAAAATATATGGTTTTTTGATTTGATATTTTATTTTCTATATGATATTTGATTTTTTCATGATATGATTTTTTGAAGTCAAGGTGATTAGCAAACCCTAACTTCAAAAAATCATATCTTGAAAACTACTCGGTATATTTTTTTGAAAATTTGGATTACAACTAATAAAGAGATGCTCTACACGATGGTGATAAAGAAAAAAAAATAGTCGTGGGGTTTTTCTTAGATTATTTCGATTTACTTCGAACACTGTTCAAAGAAAAGTTTGCCAATATTCAATTTAAAATTTCATATTATTCTAAAGGGCAAGTTTATCCCTTTAGAATGGTCTTTATTTGAAGGAAATCGGCCTAATAGTTATTGAGTAATGATTTTTTAAAGTTAAAGTATTTTAAATTCATTTAAATTAGAAAAAAAATATTTTGTTCAAAGTGTGTGGACTTTTTGATTTTTTTTTAGTGCATTTTATTTGTCTCACTGAGACGAACAAAATGATATACAACGTGTTCTGTTTTTATTGTTACAAATTTGAACAGGTAGAAGAATATTCAATTTTAAGACAAAAGTGTCCTATAAATATGTATCAAAATCAAATGTCTTGTAAAGGAGCTACACCCTTTTTTAATGGGGTTGTATCGAAAAACGCAAAAGCCCTCTTTTTGTGAAAAACTATGCAATTTAGAATTTTGTTGTTGCAAGTGGCAAGAAATTTCAGCCAAAATAGTTAGAGTACTATTTATCCTAACTCACAGTTTAAAAAAATATACCATTTTCAACTTAATTTGCTAGTTTTTTGGCCCATTTGGGTGAAATTTTACTTGAAAAATTCAAAAACAATGTCGTTTTCGCTCCCTAATGTAGCTATTTTAGCAAAATTTTGTGAAAAAAATCAGTTTTGGCTCGAAAACGTTTTTATTCGCTTGAAAATAGATGGTAATAAAATAATTTTTTGCCTAATTAATTTTTTGGCATGTTTTGATAAAAAACAATTAAAATTTTTACCTACAAATGGCTAAAAACACCATTTTTTTTTATCTAATTAGAAGATCTCAAGACTTGCTTGAGCAAAAAAAGTGCATTTTTAACTAAAAGTCAAAAATAATGATATTTGGTCACTTTTTTTCTAAAATTTTGCAAAAAAAAAACAGTTTTTACCTCAAAAACATGTTAAACGCTTTAAAAGGTGCACTAACTTGGTGGTTTTTTGGTTGTGAATGAAATTTTTTGAAAAAAAGTGGGTTTAATGGTCACCAAACTAAATCCACTGAAACAGACCAAAATAGAGCGATAATTTGAATCTAGTGATTTTGTGGCCTATTTTAGCAACATTTTGTGAAAAAAAGAAGTTTTTAGTTCAAAAATGTATTTAACTGCTTAAGAAAACAAAAATAGCGATTTTTCAACTGGTTCGAAAAAAATTTTGCAAAAAAAACGTTTAAAAAAGCAAAAATAGTATGGTTTTCGACCAAACTTGACCATTTTTTTTTCGGTAAAAAACATCACAAAACAAGTATAACATAAATATTAGAAAGATTTTACTCAAAAAGGGTAAATTATATCGAAAAAACGCAAGAGACCTCTTTTTAGTAAAAAACTATGGAATTTAGAATTTTGTTGTTGTTATAGTACTTTTTTATCCATTTTAGGACGCCCTTGATTAAAAATTTCGACATAAAGGTACCAAATTTTGTACTTTTATCTAAAATGGTTTCTGAAATATTACACAAAATCCATTAAAACATACACCCCTTTCAGGGAGTGTAGCGCCCTTACATAGTATTTTTCAAGAATGTTCATAGGAAACTTTTATCATAAAATTGAATATTCTATCTCCTGTTTCAATTTGTAACAATAAAAAAAACAGCCCTGTATAATTTGTCAAGTTTGTCGCTCTGTGTTATGCAATTTTGTGCATTTGTGCCAGATAAGTAATATCATTATATCAAGTGTGACACACTAGTTGCTAAACTGTCACAAGCAGTAACTTCTCCAGAAATTTGAAACTTCAGGTATTAACATGCGTTGAAAACAAGCTGTTTAGTTGTTGACATGAGAGCAGAGGAAGTCTAATTGTAGTTTCAATAGTTACCCGGATTTATAGCAACTAATTTTGCCTCAACTTAGCAGAGAAGTTGTAATTGCAACCACACTGGAGACATATCTCTTTAAAGAATTTTGTCAAATTTAAATAATTTGATGTTATTTATAAAAATAAAAATTATAAAAATTCCTGAGCCACATTTTTCCATAACTCGAGCCAAACTTGTACCAAATCACTTTGTGTTTCTCTGTTATTGTTGGATTCGCCTGTGGTGTACTTAAGAACTTGTGTTTACTGAAGGAAAGTGCCAGAAACGTTGTTCTTTGCCAATTCGCGTTTCGTGCAGTTCATGACATAGAATTCCTGCTATGATTTACATCGCGGTCCTGCTGAACACACGCGAAATTCCCATACAAACTAATATAATAAAGCTGCGATTCGAGGCAAATGTTTGACCTCGTCTCGAGTGGAATTGTTGGGGTTTTCACTGTAAAAAGCGTCATTACTAATAAGATTTTCTTGAGGAGCAGGTGGAAAAGTGCTTTAGTTTAGTGAACTTTGGCAAAGCTTTCAAATTAATTGTTCTTGGGTGAAGCTGTAACTTGGCATTTGCTAATTAGCAATACGTTTTGTGTGAGCAAATGTTTGCTTTTTCATTTCAAAGCCAAAAATCTTAAAATAAGTCTTGTTTTTGCATGCTATCAGGTTTCATATCGATTTATTTTTACTAGAAAAGTCGTTTTTTCTCAATATTGCTTTGAAGCTGGGGGAAAGGGAATCTTTTTTATTTGAACGTTACTAAACTAAATTTGAATTTGGTATGAAATTTTACACTCAACAATTAACTATATTTGCTGAGTTTTGGATTAAGTATCAAATTTAAATTGTAAAGTCTTTCAGTTTGTTGTTGGATTCTACACTTGAGCACGTCTCTCACGCACTTTGCAAATATGTAGTTCGTCACTGTTTATCTACTTACATGTCATCAAGCAGTTTGAGTAGACACTCAGCTTAACACACAATAAAACTTCTATAAGTATTTGCCCATCCCCTTGCTGCTTTTTCTATTATCGATCTTGCAAAGATTTGTGAAAGAAATGCTTGACTTTTGTAAGTATACTGAAACACTTGAAACGCGTCTTTTAACACACAAGGACGGAATTTAATTTAAACATTCGAAACGAAGTTTTTCAGATCGACTGATTCTATAAATCACATTTGAATCGAACTTGACATTGAAAGTATCTTCGAAACTGGTTTATAGTTGGGTAATTAATATGTCATTTACCCTTCCGGGATGTTTATTCCAGAAATTAAAAAAAAATTCGGAGGAAACATTGGAATCAGGATTTAATCGTTATCATTGAAACCATTTTAATATTTTAATAAATTTTTTTTATTAGGTATAATTTTTATTAAACAGAAATTTTTGTAAAAATTATTGGGATATTTGATTTTTTTGAATAAAGTATTGGAATGTTATATGTTTTTTGTATACAGGCTGTCCCATAGAGTTGAAAATGTCTCTTAGTGACCTTTAAATGGTCAACTATTAACCGTGTCTTAAAAATAAGTTACAATACAAAATTGTGTTTTTTTTTAATGAAACACCATATGTTTCTTGGCGTTTTTAGATGTAGATTTTTATGACAGTGTTTTTAAGCTAAACTTTTATTGGCCGACTTTGCTTAGTTTGAAAAATAAGACGTTTTTTTTGTCGAAAACATGCACTTTTAAAACATTTATTACACAAAAACTAAGACAGCTAGAAATATTGTTTTTACTACCGCAAAGAAGAAGTTACACAAGCTATAAGGTTGTAACATTTTTTTAGTGTGTTGCATTTGCAAAGATATAAAAATGAAGGCGTTTGTTAAAAGTTTAATAACTTAAAAAAATTTAATGGAACACCCTATTTATTGTTTTTGCATTAAAAAGATTATTAAATTGTCTTTTTAAAATTATTTATTTTTACTAAAAATATAATTAACGTTAAACATTAAAAAAAATAATTACTATTGTTTCAGTAGCCAAAAAGTGCACAGTTGCACAAGAGATGGAAGAAATATCACTTAATAATCACATTTGTGTTACACTGAATCTATTATTCTTTATTTTTACAATAAAAAAATCTAATTCCAGTATTTATAACGACTTTTACAATCTCTGGATAAGTCAACTACAATTAATATTGAATGTTAAATATCTTTTCATTTATCAATTCTAGACATTAAAACTTATTTTTTTTAGATAGACAATTTATCAGTCTATTAGATGCAGTAATAAAAAATAGGATGTTCCATTCAATTTTTTTAAATTATTTTACTGTTAGCAAACTTCTTGATTTATTAATCTTTAAAAATGCAAAACACGAAAAAATTTCTACAGCTTTAAATTCTGTTCTTTCTTTTTTGCAGAAGTAAGAAAAAATTTATATATCTCTCAAGAACTTCTCTGAGAAGAAAAACTGTCTCAGGCATTATCAAAAAAACTCAACAAACTTTATTGTCAAAATTGATTACAAATTTTCTTAAGTCAAAGATGAAACATGTTTTTTTCAGGGACGTTTTTTCGGAATAGACATTATTCCAGAAACTACCTAATTATAAT